TCAGGACCAATAACATTGCAGATTTTTATTTGAATTTTTTTTCAAGAATTTTAGCATATATATTAGGAGCACCAGACCAGATATGGCAACAATATTTAATGCCTGGATGAATGGTAGATTTATAAATGTGCAAAGATTGATTCTGATTAGAAACATTTTTTGGCCCAACATAATGAACCCATTTTTTAGCAGCAGACCTAGCAATTGATTCCATATAAGAACTCCAATTCATGTCAATAAGAAACATGAACAAATAGTCGCTCTCCTAAATATAATATTCTCTCGAAAAACAAGAAACTATGCTCTAACAGATTGATGAACCTTTCTTTCAAGATCTGTTTTCTAGTTTGTCTCTGCTTTCCCGCATCTAATTTCACTATTTGTGTAATCTGTCAGCCTCTGGATGTTCCTTGCCATGAGTACCTGTATAAACATTTACCTGATCACTACAATTTTAACTTCTTCAAGTCAAGGGTCAATGATTATGTATCTTTTTTATCCTTGTAACCTTTACTTTCAACATCCTATGACACACTTTATTCAGTTGTCTTTTAAATTCAGTGGCTCTTGAATACTGTATTGGGTGGAATCTAGTAAGAAAATCAAGTATAAACTCTATTAAAAATCTATTAAAAAATCTTGTAAAACATCTATTAAAAATCTAATAAAAAAATCTAGCAAAAAAATCTAGTAAAAAATCTAGTAAAAATCTAGTAAAAAAAGAAGCAAATATTTGTCTGTAATTGACTTATTCTAAAGTTGCATGAGATGGATGTCAAATTTATTGGTTAGAAAAGGCATAATCAGTCATGTGAACAAAATTTTGGAATATTAATGGGCCTTCTTGGAGTTGTAAAAGATTGATGGTTAATGAATTGGCAGGAGCCTTGCAATAGGTACATCAGGTAGTGAAAAGAATTGAATTTATTGTCTGACCAAATTTTACAATCCAAATGTCATTCCTCAAATTCTATAAAATAGATATAAAACAGATTAGCCATAATGGTGGGGAAACTCATCAGTAAATACAATGAACGAGATTAATTTTCTGTATAAATCCTGGAATACAGCTGACTTTTCACAAAATGACATCAGATACAATTAGAAAGGATTAACTTGATTAATGATGTAAAAACATCAGTAACGGAAAGAATGATTTCAATTGTCTGAATGATTCTGAAATTTGTATATAACTACACCCTTGTGCAAATTAATTGAAACAGAATGAATAATTCTGTTATTATTTAGTTTGTTTTTTTTAGTATTTTTCCAATGAAACATGACCCAGTGTAGATGTTAGCACTTTGTATGTCCATTCCATGTAGTTGTTCCTTGCAGATTGACAACAGATTCTCGACTGGACTTAAATCAGGAGAGTTTCCATGCCAGTTTATAGTACTTTGATTTGCTCACTTGTAAGACTTGCCAGCGTATTCACGCAGCATTACAATTTTCTTACGCTTCCTTGGAGTAATGTCCATCGCAGACAATGGCCTTACAACAACTAAAAGTCAAGACAATAGTGTCTGGGCATGATGAAAATCTGATGCAATATTTTTCAAAGCCAAACAAATTTCATCATACACCACAAAAATAGATTCATATTATGGCACACCACTGTAAATAGCCTAATCTGAGGGAAAAAATCGAAATTGATTACACCCTGTCACTCTAATGGATCTAAAACTGACTGTATGGTGAAAGAAAGGAAACTAATGCAGTTGTTTCTATTAATTTGCACAACGGTGTAGTTGGACTTGTGAAAATGTCTGTTTTGCTATTTTCATTTCCCAATGATTCTGCATTTTTATTTAATGACAAAATAAACTCCTTGAGAGTTCCACAGTTATATAATAACCATAAAATTTCCCCCCCCTCACATCATTAAATATTTGAACTTAACAACTTAAACAAAATATTGCAATAAATGTCATAAGTATGAATGCATGCCATTATGCAAAGAAATAAGACAGTACAAATGAAAATATTAAAAACTGACAAGGTTTTCCATTTCACTGAAGCAGACACTAAGTACATGAGAGTGTTATCACTTCCTCTAGCTTTTCTTCTTTTCTTTCTTATTATGTACGTTTCCTTTTGCTTATTAAAACCAAACAGCATCACTTTTCTCTGTTTATTATTTTCTCCATACTTTACTCTCTGTTATTCCTTTTTTCTTTCTTTTTATTATGTATATTTTATTTTTCTTAATAAAACCCAACAGTGTGTCTTATATATCTTTTCCTTCCATCTTTCCAATCTTTTCAATCAAAATGGGATGGTCCATTATTTATCTGAGGTAATGGTAGGGCATATGCTAACAAATTTACTAACCAATTGGAAACATGAAAGAAAACATGATTACCTGATACTTATTAGCTGCTGTCACCTTTGAAGTACTCCTCTTTTGAAGTTATGCATTTCACGTGGTGATGGTGTCATTTTTCCTGTCCTTCATAGCTCTTAGTCAAGTTTGTTGTTTGCTATCTCTCCTAATTCCTGTTCTGCCAACCATTTACATAAGCATATCAGGTACGTTATTCACTATTTTCTGCTATCTCTCTTCCTCTCAGTAGATCCCATAAATGTTAAATTTTCCAAGACCTCTTGTCTCATTATGAGCCCAAAAATTTCAATTATTTCTGATTCTAATTATAAATGGCCTGTTTGTATCCATTTTCCTTAAAACTTCCTTGTTACTCCCATGTTTAGTCCTTAAGACTCTCAACATCCTCTGTAGATTCATATTTCTGTTGCCATTCTTCATCTTTCAGGAGATTTTCCAGCATTCACTGCCATACAGGAGGACTGATATTACATAACAGTTCAGTACTCTTTTCTTTGTTTCTATTGCTTCAAGTCCCTTCTTCATCTTTGAGGAGATTCTCCAGCATTCACTGCGATATAAAAGAACTGATATTATATAGCAGTTCACTACTCTTTTCTTTGTTTCTAATGAAATTTTCTTGTTTATGGTGAAGTAATGGATAGAGGCTCGAATTGAGGAATCGGAGAGCAAAGTTCAAATCCCACTTAAATCCATTACATTCACTTATGTGCTAATACCCTTGAGACAGGTATGAATCCTCTTCTTCTGTGGGTAAATAGCAGGACAGACCGGGTTCTATAGCCTTGGATGGCAACTGGTCTACCGCAGAAAGAAATGGCAAACTACTGCAGGGAAAAAAATCTGCCTCATCAGTCATGTATCAAAAATATGCATGATCGCCTAAGCGTGTATCACGCATGGCACATAACTTACTGAATTCTTTTATTAACTTTTGGAAGGCATCTTTTCACTATTTTATTGTGCCTTTTTGATTTTTCTATTTTTTTTAAACAAGCTTAAACCAAGCAAAACAGTCAAGCCACTAAGACACAGGGGGTAGTGGGTGTGGAAGAGTTAGAAACAGGAACTTTTCTAAGGAGCGACAACAGAGGAAGAGTAATCAGGAGGACAGCAGATAGTGATTTGATATTACAATTAAATTTTGTAGATTAAAGTTGATTGGAATGTACAGAGCTAGGATGGAGTTCCACAAGTGAGAAGTGCAAGAAAAGAAACTTTTAGCATTGAATTTATGGTTACACCTAACCAGCTGAACTGTAAATTGATGAGACCTTGATGCCAGTCTATTACTGTGCTTAAATTCAAAGAGTCCAGGCATCATAGCAAAGAGTTCATCTGAACGATTAAGTATTTAGAGAAAAGGAAAAGGAAGGTAACCTTACTGTGGTGCCTGAAGCTGAGAAACCAGATTGGGGCCAATAATATTCCTCATTCATCTTTGGATTTTATCAAGGAGCTCTAAATATATAGCAGGAGCAGAAGACCATATGTGGCAGTGATATTCTAAGCATGTGTGAAATTTAGACTTATAAATATGTACAATAGGCTCTGGAGAGAAAATCCATTTAGCATGATACACTGAAACAACCTTCATAGCAGCTCACCTAGCAAAGGATTTAACAAACTCTTTCCACTTGTATTTGCTTGATTTTTAGTCTTTACAATTAATAGTTCATCCCTTAGGCTGTTCCATACTTTTCAATAATGTAATCAGATGTTGCTGAATGTGGGGATGTCAGCAAAACCTTTGTTTTCTTTAGGTAATTTTCAATTTCGGAAGAAGCCAAAAGTCACAAGGGGCTAAGTTTGGTAAATAAGATCGATGACCCATTTTTGAAATGAATTTCTTAGCCAGGAATTTGCAAATTCCAGAAATATCATTTAGGAATCTGCTGTACTCTTTTCTCTGTTCATATTCAGTTCCTCTATTATCAGTCATCCACTTAATGTTTGATCAAGTTTTACACTTTGCCCACATTTGCATTTTCACTTCAGGGGTTTTGGTTACCCATTTCTTGCATCATCCTGCATATATTCTTGCCCTTACTTAAACTGCCTGTACTGCTCAAAAACACTTGTGAAGTATTGTTACCAAACTTTACACAAGACTTGATGTTGATCTACTGGCTTCAGAATATTTCCCCATTTTCCACCAACAGCATAAAATGAACACATACAATTTCCTTTACTGCTCAGCAATGAATGATTCATTTGTTCTATGCCACAAAAAAATTGAAATTCGAAAACAATCAGGACATGACTGGATGCAAATAATTGTCTGCATTATTACCACAGAGATGCATTGAGACGATTCTGTAGAATAACAATAATAAACAGCACTTACCGGTGTAAAGATCCCAGCTAGCGTCCAGCTGGCAGACAAAAATAAAGCAGGTTGTAACTTAATACAAACCCTGCAAACTAAAAGATGAATCAAACTGGTATTTATATAGAAATACCTCCACTCAGGTACCAGCAGCCAATCACAGCCCAAGCAATGGACTACCCCACTTTAGCACAATGAGATTCTCCATGGCAACATAAATAGCTCTCTTTCTAAAGGTTGGATTATTATTCACTTAGCTTGCTCCACAACTGAGTGTTTATCTCTACCACGTGATTTTTCTACAGGGCGCTGCGAACAGGATATATGACACCCGAAGATTGGGAACTCTTCTTCATTGAAGCAGGCCTATCCACTGACTCGGCCAAAACTCATGCAACAAGGTTTGCAGATGAGAAACTGACAATCGAGAGCCTTCAAATGCTGGATCGATCCATGCTTAGGGAGCTCGGAGTTGCATTAATGGGAGAAGCCCTGTGTATCATCAAGCAGGCTAAGGAAGCCACCACCCAGACAACCCGCATTCAGGCACTAGCAGCCAAGCCTCTCCATCTCAATCGCGAGATGACACCACAACAATTCAGGAAGTTCCGAATTGACTGGGATGTCTTTACCAAGATGACAAATATGCCAAGCTCCCAAGCTAATATTCACCTATACAATTGTGCTGATGAGACTGTGCAAAACGCCATAATCAACACACACCCTAACTTCTTTACCACTGATCCAGATATGCTACTTGACATTGTAGAAGCGTTGGTCACCCAGAGGTCAAGTCCTACTGTCCATCACCTTGCTTTTTCCTCCATGTCTCAGGATGCGGATGAGCCAATACAAAGTTACCTTGTCCGCCTCAGAGCCGTAGCTGTTGATTGCAACTTTACCTGCCCCTCGTGTGAGCATGACCTGTCTGATATATACGTCAAGAACCAGATCATCCGTGGAATAGCAAATGACACACTCCAGGCTGACCTACTGGCCAAAGCTGGGGCACTTAAATCCCTTGAGCAAAATATCCGTCATGCTGAGGCATTTGAATCAGCATTGCGAGACCAAACCTCAATGGCTGGCGCTTCAGATACAGCCGCTGCTCGGCTATCAACATACCGCAGACAGAAGGGTACGCCACAAGCCAACGAGGGGATCCGTACCAGCACCTATTGCAAATGCAATGTTAAACCAAACCACCAGGCTTGCTTAGGTTGTGGCAGCCACCAGCACGGCAGCTCAGGAACTGGATCCCGCTGGCTAAAATGCCCAGCATGGGGACAAACGTAGTAATTGTGGGAAGCCCAATCACCTATCGAGGGTATGCCGGGCTAAGAAACTGGCTCAAGCAGTAAGGAAAAGCCCAGAGGCTAATGAAGCCGCCATGGACACACTTATCGCCCACATTACATTCAATCAAATGACGGGCACGTATACATCTAAAGACACAGGCCAGGTAAGGGAGATTGATGTATATATTGTTCCATTCTCACCAAAACCGGATCCCAGACAAGTTAAGAATATCCCCAGAAATCACAGCACTAGGATGACGATCTTTCCTGACAGTGGGGCCACCATATGTCTCGGAGGACTTAAGCACCTTCTGAATATGGGGCTCACTACCAACAACCTCATTCCATCAAGAAAAGTCGTCCGAGCTGTGGGAGGTTTTACACTCATATGTCAGGGTTGGCTCCCCATGGAATTCATCGTCCAAGGAAGAACAACTAAACAAGCCCTATACATATGCAAAAAGATCAAGCGGCTATACTTCAGCAAAGTAGCCTGCATTGACGTAGGGATACTCTCCAAAGACTTCCCAAACCCAACGACTACAATATTACCTCAAACAGCAATGCAACACATGCCCTCGACAAGTACACATAAAAAATCAGACGCGAGCACTAAACAATGCAAAGTCGAGGGACAACTTCCAACGTGCCCCAAAAAAACCCCTTTTTCCCCAACAGAACAAAACATTGATAGGCTCAAGAATTGGCTATTAAATCAATTCGCCGAAACGGCGTTAAAAAATAATGGTGAATTCCCACCAATGTCTGGCCCCACTGCTCATATACACCTCAAAGAAGGAGCAGTCCCCAAAGCCAGACATAACCCAATTCCTGTGCCTTTTCACTTCAAAGAGCCCGTAAGGCAGGCCCTTTGGGAAGATGTGAAAAAGGGTATCATAACCCCAGTACCTGTCGGCATGCCCACTGATTGGTGTAGCACTATGGTAATTACCGCCAAGAGAAATGGCAAACCACGAAGAACCATAGACTACCAACACTTGAATTCACAGTGCAAACGGGAAACACACCATACAGGGTCACCATTCCAGCTAGCACTACAAATGCCATCTAAGCAAAAGAAAACGGTGTTGGATGCTGTTGATGGATATCATTCCATCCCCTTAGATAAAGAGTCCCAGCCACTCACCACCTTCATCACAGAATGGGGAAGGTTCACGTACCTGAGGATGCCACAAGGTTACCTAGCATCTGGCGATGCCTACACCCGAAGGTATGATGAAGTAATAAAAGACATTCCCCGCAAAATAAAAATCGTAGATGTCACACTACTCTACGACTCTGACATCGAAGGAGCCTTCTTTCACATCTTCGATTTCCTCTTCCATTGCACAAAAAAAGGCATCGTACTCAAAAGAGAAAAGTTCCAATTTTGCCAAGACACTGTGCAGTTTGGGGGCCTCCAAATAACATCCTCTGGTGTAACCCCTTCTAAATCCATGCTGGATGCGATATTAAGCTTCCCAATACCAAAAACACTCACCGATGCCAGATCATGGTTTGGTCTGGTCAACCAAGTCGCTTGGGCATACTCACTGAGCCCAGTCATGCTTCCATTTCGTGATCTCGTAAAATGAGACTCACACTTTATATGGAATAAAAGCCTTGAGGATGCATTCCAGCATTCAAAGAAGGTCATAGTTGACTTACTTCGAAAAGGCATTGCAACATTTGAAAGAGAACGAATAACCTGCCTCGCCCCAGATTGGAGCAAAGACGGAATGGGATTCCTACTTCTACAGAAATATTGCTCATGCACCACCGACAAAGCCCCAGTTTGCTGCCCTGAAGGCTGGCGCCTGATATTTGCTGTTAGCAGATTCTGCATTGATGCTGAATGCAGATATGCACCTATTGAAGGCGAGGCAGCAGCAGTTGCGTGGGCATTGGAAAAATGTCGCATTTTTGTAATGGGTTGCCCGATTCTCATAGTGGTTACAGTTCATGAACCATTAAAAGGATTATTCTGAGATAGAGACCTTAGTAAAATCCAAAACCCCCGTTATTCAGGTTAAAGGAGAAAACCCTCAGGTACAGATTCACCATTCAGCACTGCCCTAGAAAATGGCACAGAGCCTCCGATGCCATCTCTCGTAACCCAGCAGACATCTCACAGGCACTCCTAAATGTATTCACTGCTGAACCCTCTCAATCAGACATCATAGAGTCTGACAATATGGATGACTGGGTCAAATCAACAACCCTATTAGCAACATTCAGCGCAAATGACAACCTGGAGCTCATCTCACCAGACGTTAACCGTGCGGCGGGACGCAGCGACACGCAATGCAAAAAATTAATTGAGGTAATATGAAATGGATTCCAAAAGACACGCAGCCTCACTGCACCCGAAATCCACGAATACTGGGAAGTGAGGCACCACCTAAGTGTTGACGATGGATTAGTGCTATTAGATCAAAGAATCGTTATCCCCACCTCTCAACGCGTAAAAGTCTTACATAGCCTACATTCTGCACACCAACAAACAAAATTGTTGCAAATTTTATATATAGGCAGATGAATAAAATCTTAACAAATCTTACAAGTATCCTGTTTTCAATGTATAATGGCTGCATGCCATAAATGGCTAATCTTAAAACAAAGAAGGACACCTGCAATTCTAAGCTATTTTTCAAAAAGTGAACCCATTGTTGCAATGTGAAATGCACAGATGATCAGATGTGAATTTGTAGAAAGAATAAGACAAAGAATAAGTTCAATTGTATGAACAAATCTTGTGATTTTTCTTAAAACTCTAGAATATAGATGCAGTATTGATGGAATAGAACATTAGGTGTACAACATGTACAACATTAACCACAGAAAGAATTAGACCACTTCACTGTACTGACTGGGAAGCAAGAAACGAGTTCCATAGTGTGAGAAAAGAAACTGCTAGCATAGAACTTGTGGTTACATCTAACCACTTCAACTTTAAAAGGATGAGACCTTACTGCCCATCTAGTACTGCACTTAAATTCATAATATCTAGATACCATAGAGAAAAGTTCATCAGAATAATTACCATAAAAGTTCTATGTAAATAAAACATCTATAAAATAGTATGCCAAAGCAAATGCCAGTTGAGTTACCATCTTCTGACCTGACAATGTATATTCCAGAGAGTACTCTACTTCATAACAATATCATGTTGGATGAACCAAGGCACATAGAGACTTGGATTAGGTGTTTCACAGCATTGGCTAGGGTAAAGAAACTGAAAGACAAGAAAGCCTCCAGAGGAAAGAATGAAATTACTGATTTATTTTTGGCTTCAGTTGGATGTGAAGCCATAAAGAAAATATCCATTATGGTGGACCCCAAAATACTGGAAGACTTAATATATGAGGAAATTTCAACCATTATAAAAATAAACATGTGAACAAAAAAAGCTGCTTATTACAGAAAGAACAGAATTTCTGGAAAGCAGACAGACCCCAAATGAAACTATAATGCAATGTTTACACAGATTAAAAGAAACATCAAGATATTGCAAATTTGAAAAACTGGGTTTGAGAGAAATGTCTATAGGAAACGAATTGATATTTCTAAGACTAATTGAAGTCATGTATGGCATTGCCTACAAACATAAGATCCGAGAATGGCTACAAGTGAATGATATGAATTTAGAAGCAAGTATAGAATTCTTGCAGTAATTAGAATTAATTAATGAATTTAATAATTCTAAAAACAATGTGGAAGCATACAACACAACTAAAATCCTAATTAAGTGTAAATATTATGACCAAGAATGCAAAAGAAACAAAAACTGACATAAGACTATTGAAAGAATATAAAACGAGTAATCATCTAAAAGAAAATAGTCACCCAATCTTTTTTGAATCTTGAAAAATACCTATTCACATTCTATGCATGTTAGTTGCAAAACTGTAAAAAATGGTAGAACAAGGCATGTTGGAGAAAGTTACTCAAGGTGGTAGCAGTTGGGCTTCACCAATTGTTGCAATAGGAAAACCCAGTGGTGGTTTGAGGATATGTAGGGATTACAAATCAGGTGTGAATCATCAGATATGCTCTAATTCATTCACCTTACCTAATATATAAACAGCAAGTCCTGAATTAGCAAGAATTAAATACTTTGCAAAGACTGACCTGAAATTGGCATATAACCAAATAGAAATTGATGAAAACTTTAACAATTAATACCTTGAAAGTTTGCTGAGGTATTACTTGACAGAACTTTTTTCAGTTGCCTTTTAAAAAATATGGCTTGAAGTCTTAACACCAAATGGAAGACGAGTTCATAAAAATATCGTATCTCAGATACCAAATATCTAAAAAAGGAATTTCACCAGACAATAAACTGATGAATAAAAAATAAAAAAGTTAGAATCCTTTTTTGGATAGACCAATTTTTAAAGTAAATATCTACCTAGATACAGTAATGTAATAGAACCATTTGCAGAAATATGGAAAAAGAATACAGAATTGAAATAGACTCAAAGGCAAAATATAGCTTTTGAAAGCTTAAAGAAAGCACTAATAAGAAAACCGATTGCAAAAATCTTTGATCCAAAAAAAAAAAAAAAGAAGTGACATTGACTACAGATGCAAATGAACAGGCTGTAGCTGCAATTTTATCTCAAGGTCATCTAATTATGTACCTGTGGAGAAAATCAATGTAACCTAAAGCTAACTACTCAAATACTGAGAAAGAAGCGTTAGCAATAGGATGGAGCAAAGAAAGAGCTTGAAATTTTTGTTAGGAAGAAAATTTTTGTTAAAGTCAGATCAACAACCTTTAGACTTTATATATGACCCCAGAACAGAATTATCAAAAGTCACAAAATTCATAACTTCTGGAATTTTAAGATGGGCTATAAAACTCATGGCCTTTGATTTTGACATCATATACATAAAGAGGAACACTATTCCATATGTGGATGCACTATCCAGACTAAGTTTTGACATTAAAAAATTTAAAACATCTGAAAATTCATAAGATAAAATACTGCACTG